CCCCCCCGGCTCGCAAATCTTCTTTCTTCGTCACCCCAGACACCAGGTTCCGGTAGAACAAGTCGAGACTCCTCAGGGCTGAGACGCGCAATTAGCTGCACTACCGATTTCCCTACCTCTCGGACAAAACGACGACGAGTCAATAGACTAGACGTTGGTCCCAATCGCGGCATGTTTCAACGAACTAGCAGCAACATCGAATCTGGGAGACCAAAGTCCTCAAGGATCAACTATCTTATGGAGAAGATTGAGAAAAGTATACACATGGCCCCTGTCGATGCGGGTCCACCTGGGTCGTCGCCTCTGCGCCAACATATGGATGTGCGACGGTGTCGATCGTCTTCACCTACGAAGGACCATCGGCTTCACGAAGCTGACGATGAAACCTCCGAATCCCCATGTGATGTATCGCTTGAGAAAGTAAGATCCGGGAAACTTCCTGTTCTGCAAGAGTCGTCCTCCGAGTTCGGAGACGATGATCTTGATCAAGATCTGATGGAGCTGGCCGATGCCTCAGAGGATCCTTTCATCGAGCCGCCACGTGCATCTAATGAGTTTGCTTCTCTGGGGTCTTCTAGCTGGGCTGCCCTTTCCGCAGATAAGTCTCGTTCATGGCAACCCAAAGAGAATTCAAAGCTCGACTGCAACCCTCCCCTACCCCACAACGCTATGACGATTAACGAACCAAAACGCGATGAATTCGATGAATTTGAAGATGAAGATGACATTTTGACCGACAACTTGCAGGAAATACTTGCAAAATGCGACACAAAGCCCGTTCCGGTCAACTCATCTAATCCAACAATCACTGGGCCATCTTTGCAAAGGTCAGATTCAATGAATGCCCCGGTGAATGGCAGTATGCATATCAAACCCCCAACCGGACCTGACAAAGCTGAGGCGGCATTATCGGATGATGAGTTTGATGATGATGATTTTGATCTGGAGGCCATTGAGCAAACTATGAAGCAAGCAGGTGAAGGAGGACCAGCCTATGTTAGTCACTCTTAATTGGTTAATCTTTAAATATATGCTAAGGCAGTCAAAACAAATAGAACCTAAAAGGTCGACAAGCTATCAAGCGTTACCAGATTGTTGACATGATGAAGAGCACATATGTTACGCCGAAAGGACGTACTCAGCCAGAGCAGGTCAGACACCTTGCCCTTGTTCCGGATATAGTCCTGCCCGCTGACTTTAAGTACAGGTTTTGCTAGTTGAAGACGAGAAAACCCGAGACCGCAAAGTTATCACTTTGCGAGACTCATGGTTTGACACTCCCTGCAGCAAGGACTCGTATATCTCCCTAGTCGGGGATTTCAATGCAGCCGGCCAATGCGTTGTGGATAATTTGAACCATATGATCATTCTTCACCCTGACCATCTCATTTCCGCTACGGTCGTAGCAGACTCGATAGACTGCCAACGACGAGCTGTCCTTCAAGACCGAGTCAAAGTCATTGGCGCACTCGAGCGACCGCAAGCCTTCGGTGTTTTTTTCCACGAAGTTTTCCAAGAAGCCCTCAAGGCGAACCAATGGGATATGGAGTCATTAAAGACATTGATCGAAACCGTCATGGGCAGACACATTGAAGAGTTGTACTCGATTCAAATGAGTATCCCTGAAGCTGTTCAATATCTCATGAGCAGGATGCCTGCTGTTCTCGATTGGGCAGATGCTTTCCTGCATCTCAAGCCACAGGTATGTCTCAAGGCCGATGGAGGCCTCTACAGCCAAGGAACCTTGCTAAACTAGATCAATAGGCCAATTCCATGGTTGAAGACCGTAATAACTCTAAGCTTAATTTGAGTATCAGCAAACTACTTGAGGTAGAGGAGCACATCTGGTCCCCAATGTATGGCCTCAAAGGCAACATCGATGCGACGGTACAAGTCGCCTGTCGCGAAGACAAAATGGAGAAGAACCTGGTGGTTCCGCTGGAGCTCAAGACTGGGCGAAGGGATACAAACCAGTCACATAGGGCCCAAACTGCTCTATACACTCTACTTCTGTCGGATCGCTATGGTAAGTGGTGAAATATTATCTGATCCCATAATCTCTTGAAGGCATTTGACTAGTTGCTAAAATCGTTGTAGATATCGACGTCACATTTGGGCTTCTCTACTACCTTGAGTTAACAAAGACCCTCAGTATCCGTGGGATCCGACACGAACTGCTCCAAATGATCCAGGTGCGCAATCACCTTGCTGGCTACATTCGCGAAAGGCAGCAACTTCCACCGATGTTGAAGAAAGCTCGTCAGTGTATTCGATGCTATGCCAAGACTCCTTGCCTCATCTATCACAAGCTCTCCGAAGATGGCGATGGCGAGACTAGCGCACTTGGCGAGGATTTCGATGCAGCTGTTGGTCATCTGAACGACGGTGACCGGGACTTTTTTCGTAAATGGGATGAGCTTTTGACCAAAGAGGAAGGAAACCTCGTGAAGTTCCGGCGTGAAATTTGGACACTTCTGAGCAGCGAGCGAGAAACTCTGGGTCGATGCTTCGGGGATGTCGTTATCGATCCGAAATCAGTGTATGAGGAGAACACTGGGGCAAAGATTAATCGCTACAACTATACGTTCGTCAAACGGCAAGCGTCTCCTGGTTTCTCCTTTGCTGAATCTCAAATATCTGTCGGTGATCCGATTGTCATTTCGGATGAAATGGGCCATTTTGCTCTCGCCAACGGATACGTATTGCATACTAGTTCGTCACACGTTAAGGTTGGCGTGGACCGGAAACTTCACAATGCACGATCAAAGACGACTGGCTTCGATGCAGTCACAAATCAATCTTTCAGGGGGATCATGCAGGTTGGGAAAGAAGAGCCTGCTGCTCTGGAAGACCCAGGTGAACAGCTCGTTTACCGGATCGACAAAGATGAGTTTGTCAATGGCATGGCCACTGTTCGAAACAACCTCATCTGTATGATGGACAAAGACTTGTTCCAAGCGAGGCACCTTCGACGGCTCATTGTTGAGGGACAAGCGCCCGCCTTCAAAACGACATCATCTTCGTACATGTCTGATCCTGGAAACCTCAACGTGGATCAAAGACAAGCCATTGACAAAGTTATGAGCGCCAAAGACTATGCTCTTGTCCTTGGAATGCCTGGGACTGGAAAAACCACAACGATTGCCCATATCATTAGGGCCCTTGTCGCCCAAGGCAAGAGTGTGCTTCTTACATCTTACACCCACACTGCAGTTGACAACATTCTGCTGAAGATTCGAGACGACAACTTTCGTGTACTGCGTATAGGCGCGACCGCCAAAGTTCACCCAGATGTTCAGGAATTTGCCGATCTTGCCGCAGTCCCGAAATCAACCATTGAAGAACTCAAGGATTCGTACGAAAAGCCGCAAGTTATTGCCACCACATGCCTCGGAGTCAACCATAACATCTTCAACGAACGCATATTTGACTATTGTATTGTCGATGAGGCATCACAGATCACACTCCCAGTCTGCCTCGGCCCTATTCGGATGGCAAGGACTTTCATCCTGGTCGGTGATCACTATCAATTGCCACCACTTGTGCAAAATAAAGCGGCCCAGGAAGGAGGACTTGACGTCAGTCTCTTCAAGCTGCTCTCGGATGCACAGCCGGATTCTGTTGTCAACCTAGAGCACCAGTACCGCATGTGTGAGGAAATCATGTTACTTTCCAACACTCTGATCTACTCGGGCCGTCTCAAATGCGGAACACCGCAGGTAGCAGCCCAATCTTTGGTTATACCCAACATCAACGCCCTCAAGAAATTCCATGTCGAGAACTTCAGCCATGCTCCGTCACAGTCCCAACGAGAAATCTGCCCGGGTACCTCTGGTACACCCTGCTGGCTCCAAGACTTATTGGCGCCATCTGCAAAAACCCGCCTGGTCAATACCGATTCCATCGGGACTGCAGCCCTCGAGATAGCACAGGGGAACCGCGTCGTGAATCACATGGAGGTCTTCCTCTGCGCGCAGCTTGTGGAATCATTCATTGCCTGTGGTGTTCCTGCGCGCAGCATCGGCGTGATCACTTTCTACCGCAGTCAACTCTCCCTCCTTCGCCAGAGCCTGCGACGCTACACCCCGGATCTGGAAATGCACACCACAGACAAGTTTCAAGGCCGCGACAAAGAGGTCATTATCCTGAGCTGCGTCCGCAGTAATGCCGAAAACAATGTCGGTGAGCTCCTACGTGACTGGCGTCGTGTCAATGTTGCGTTCACTCGCGCACAGACCAAGCTCCTTGTCGTGGGCAGCAGATCTACTCTCCGCGACGGCAATGAGCTCCTCTGCAAATACGTGCGCCTGGTAGAAAACAAAGGCTGGGTTTATAACTTGCCAAGCGGAGCGATAGACAAGCATTTCTTCCCTTCTTGCACCACACAGTCGCAGCTCATGTCTCCGCGTGCAGCCTCAACTCCTGGCTCTGCCAAAGGCAAAGGTAATGACAAAAACAAAGCAGCAGCTTCTCGTTCTTCCCGTGAGCCGCTGAGCCCACTGGGCTCCCGACAAGCAGCGCCTGGCCTTCGAAAGCCTTCAAAGACAGGTGCAAAATTGTTCAACGGCACGAATGTCGTTGGGAATCGGCCCATCCTGCGAGACATAGTGAATGACCTAACGGGCTAGCATATCATGTTTCAATCAATGTCCTTGTTCCTGCTCTTTGAATGCAAACTGAGGCGTTCTGTTCTATTATCTCGCGCGAATTGACGCGCTGGTGCGGCCATTTCGTCTTACGTGTGTAATGTTTTGGGCTGGTGAATGCACTGAGCACCCTGTACATTCTAATTTCGATTAGCATTGCAGCCTGTTGGTTATTAGCTGTCAGATATTATAATGACATTTGGTTTCTTTTATTGCAAGGCACTGTAGTCTGCAAACAACGATGATTGATTCATAATATTGAACTATGGTAGGCTAAACCTTCGAAAGGCTAAAGAAAGACAAAAGAAAGACATAAGAACCACGGTCACCGGGGCGGTTACAATAACTGCCGAGTTACTTCGAATAGACTCGTGCCTTTTTGGCCGGAGATCCGTTCAAGTATGTTCGATCGCCATTGGGACTAACCCCCCACCGGGCATGATTGTTTGGGTTCGCCACAAAGTTGACAGGCACAATGTTCTCCATAAACTGGAAGGTTCTATTGCTGGGTGAAGCGGCAGAAAGGGAAGAAACAGATTGCATTGGCTCCTCGGGTGGGGTGGAATAATCTTGCATTCGCTGGGGCTGTTGAACTCCCTGAGCCGCTGAAGCTTGGAGTTGCTGAGTTTGCTGCATCACAGACTGCATGCGCCGCTTGGAGGGGGTGGAATAGACAGTTTGAATTTGCTGTGCGGGCTGCTGAACCTGCGGTGTCTGTGGCATCACAGACTGCATGCGCCGCTTGGAGGGGGTGGAATAGACAGCTTGAATTTGCTGTGCGGGCTGCTGAACCTGCGGAGTCTGTGGCATCACAGACTGCATGCGCCGCTTGGAGGGGGTGGAATAGACAGCTTGCATTTGCTGTGCGGGCTGCTGAACCTGCGGAGTCTGTGGCATCATAGACTGCATTTTCTGGGCGCCCTGGTGGGCATGTTGGGCTGCGGAGGCTTGAAGTTGCTCGGTTTGTTGCATCGCAGATTGCATACGCTCCTTAGTGGGGGAGGTATGGTCTGCTTGCATTTGTTGTGCGGGCTGCTGAACCTGCGGGGTCGATGCATTTTGGAATAGGTGGGCTTGCTGGGTTGCATGCTGATGCTGTTCATAACACCGGAATCGGCGTACTTGCTCTTTGTGCTGCTCAATCTTTTGGTGGCACAGCTGAAACTGCTGTTGGTGGAGCTGCCACTGTTGTCGGTGAATCAGGAGCTGCTGTTCATCCACGGGCTGCTGTTTCTTCAGATTGGCTTGCTGTTGTCCGAGCTGCTTCCATTCTGCACGAAGATGTTGCTCTTGACTTTTAAGGCGTCCTTGGATTTGAAGAAGCTTCTGTGGGCTAGGATACGCGGTTGTGTTGTGAGTGACCTCGGCCGCCGGTGTCATTGAAGCAGGCGCAATATTCGGAAGGGGTGGTGCGACTGAGGTTGGGGTTGTCTTGCCCTTCGCCATGCGTGTGGTGTTTTGTGCCTTGGTATTTTTCTGTATTTTGTGAAGCTCATCATTTTGCTTCTTAGGGACCCGCTTAGCCTTCTGCTTGAGTGGTGGCTTAGCAGGGTGAGATCGCGGTTTGGTTTGTGACATGGTAAACACTTTGCGCACACTAGTTGTCGAATCAGGGGTGGTAGGAGCGCATTGGGTAGCTGCGGCAGTGATGACTTGAGTGGAAGGGTCAATGATGCCTGGAGCATGTTGGGTGACAGCAGTGCCAACATTGGTGGCTGGGGCAGCAGCGACATCAGTGGCCAGAACTTGAACGGCAGGTTCAATGATGTCTGGAGCACCTTGGGTGACTGTAATAGCAACTTGGCTGATTGGGACATCGGTGGCAGTGATGACTTGAGTGGAAGGGTCAATGATGCCTGGAGCACGTTGGGTGACAGCAGTGCCAACATTGGTGGCTGGGGCAGCAGCGGCATCAGTGGCCGGAACTTGAACGGCAGGTTCAATGATGTCTGGAGCACCTTGGGTGACTGTAGTAGCAACTTGGCTGATTGGGGTATCAGTGGCAGGAGTAGGATGAACAACTGCAAGGGGAGGGCCCAGGTCGGCGTTTTCGAGAGATCGGAGAGTATCGAGCGGATAGACTGTAGCCGGCTGATTGGCGCAAGTGCTCTGTGTAGTCACCTCATCAGTCACGATGGGGGTGGGCAATCCAGAACACAGCTCTAGGTGGTCCTGAGTTGATGGGCCAATGACAGGGTCTACACCGAGTTCAACGAAGGCCTTGTCAAAAGTCGAACCTGCAAAGGTATCGTTCTCTTCCTCGAAGCGATATCCTAGGAACACACGTCAGTTGTGTTCGATAGCCCTGAATTAAGAGATGTAATTACCATTGTGGGAAGCGAGTTCCCAGAGGGACATGATGGAGCCATCTTCGTGATAAATTGACTCGGGTACTTCCCATTCGTCGAGACCCAAGAGAGCCTTGTTCGGATCTTCATCATAATCCACCTCGGCAAGCGCGTCGAAAGAGAAAGTTGATTCCTCCATAACGAATGATGGGATAAATGTGAATGAGTGTACAAGTCAAGGAAGGTGCAGAATCCGGGAAATTAAGAAATATGGAATGGAGTATGTCAATTGCGGAGTGGAACACTCGAGCAAAGACTAATAGCTAATAGCTAAGATGAAATGATTGGTAGTGAATGATAATGAATGTAGGAATAAGTGCGATGAGTATGGAGAAGGAAGGAGAGAGAAAGAAAATGAGAAGAGAAAGGGAGAAGGATAACTGTGTGTGGGATGGTGTGTCAGGGCAGAATCATGGGGGGTGAAGCCCTGGATGATTTCCCCATGGGGACGAACAGACTTAAAAGGGAAAGGGTTAGGTCAGGGTTCAGTCACTGATGCCCCCATCAACTCCCAACATAAAGTCATCCGACTAACAGATCCAGTGGTTCCCTCGCTATTCACCTGGAATTGTTCACTCTGTCCATTGGATTGTCCACTAGGAAGGACCATAACCATATATCCGTCCCTTCCTTCCACGGCTTCTTTCCCAAGAGTAGCGACGGAAAGCGCGAACCAGGATAGATTGTTAGCCTTAGTGCTTTGCCTAGACAACGTTAGCTCCTAGAAATTCATGTTGTATGTTCGAAACTCACAACAGATTAAGGAACAGCTGCATGATCCAACGGGACGATATCAAACCATGCCATTTTAAGCTCATCAAATCAGAGGCCTGGCTCTCGTCTGCGTCTAAAACTGCATAACGACTTAGGAAAGGATCAACGTCATCTTCCCCAGATACTCGCGGAGAAGCCATCTGAACCATGGCAATCCATTCAGACAGGGCGCCACAATGTTCCTGCAGATCACCTTCCGACATTTTTTCGAGTACTTTCCCGTCGAAAAACGGTGGAATGATTATTTGCTCGTGATCTATTTCCTGCAGCTCGCAGGTTATCAACTGTGGTTGAGCCTTGTTAATCGGCTTGTTTCCTGTTCTAACTGTCAGTATATTACTGGCAATTTTCTCTTTTTGAGTTCGGAAGCGTAATCACCGTCATCCAGACTGGAGTTGCTTTCCAGGTCGTGGAAGAGCCAGGCCATTGATTGAGTCAGAACATTGGTGAATGCCCATACGATTCTTTCGAACCCCTTTTTGCCATGCAGCATCGAGGGCAGCCGTAAGTTCAATTCTACCACTGACGACATGATTAGCAAAGATTCAACCAACCTATTTGCTCTGGTTATACACACAGAATCTTTCCTTCGCGTGTTTTCTGCCTCCGCTACGGAAAGGCTTGCCTGTGAGACCTGTTCGCTCATAGATCTCCTTTCCTAGTTCCATTCGAAGTACCCCTGTTTCGACTTGAGTCAACTGTCGGTTCCGCAACGGCAAGATTCCCCCAGACGCAGCTTCAGGAGAACGAACCATCTTGTAGTGTGAAGACATTATCGGAACCCGAGCGTCCTTCAGATATCATCAAAATATTCCCTATGTTCCAAGTCAGATTGCCGCCTTTGATAGCATGGACTCTCTGGACACAAAAGCTGTCTGATGCTTGTGCGATTGATGGTCACTCAAATATGGAACAACTTCTGGACTGAACTTGCGGAGGCACAAATACCTGACTTGATATATGTATTGAAGAAATCATGCTCAAGCAAAGCTAAAGGAGGCATGAAGACTCGTGCATATCGAGGTTTTTCCAGTTTGGTCTCGAGCGACGGCTTGATCTGCGAGTAAACCTCCTTTGACAAGATAACCTCGGCCTATACCCAATGGTCAGTCCACGCCCTCTTATCCCTGAAATCAGGCCACAGGCCACATACTGAGTGTACAAATGCATGATTTTGAATCGTTGAAAAGGGCGATGTCTTGCCCGGGATCTGCTTTGGGTCGATGAACGCCGGCAGTTGAGCGATGGTTGTGAAACACTTTTCACGACGCGATGCATCGTCCACTTCTTCAAACATCTTGTCTTTGATAGACTTGAAAGTGCTATTTAATGTTGACAATCGAAGCTCTTGAGATCCGAAGGGTTAAATTTTCAGCCGAAGGGTGAGGTTCGATTAAGCTCGGGCTTATCGGACCCATAAGGCTGCAGCTATCAAACGTTCCACATTCCAACGTTGAATTGGAATTTGGCGTATTTTGACAAACCATATAGAGAAATATATAATGTAGGAACTACATTTATAGATATATTGAGTCTAAATGGTGTATATGAATTCAAGACAATGAAATATAAGCCTCAAGGTTGTAACTCAACGTAGCCTGGTACTTGTATCAATTCATACGAGATGTGTATAACTCAGAGCTCAGGTTCCATTATTCAGTACTGAAATTTGCTTCAAAGGCTTTTCCACATTATATGAGCACGAATTTACTATAGAGCAAACAAAACAGAACACATTGTCAATCAGGACCATAATGCACAGGAACAGTATCAATGGCATATAGTATAGGGGCCTAGAAATAAGCAAGAGGAGTAGGATGATTCAAAAGTAATTAGGTACATATTTTAACCTGATCCATTACGTCTATAGCGGAGTTCCTCAGGTGGTGTACCTTGATGTGTATGCAACGACATAAAATGCATTTCCTTCCCTTTCGGTGAGAGAAATAAACAAAATTTGCTGACTTCTTACCTATGCTTCCCTATCCCAAATTTTCGCCAACATTCTGGGCAATTGAAATCCAAATCTTATACAGCAGGCAGAAAGTGTTGGATGCCTGAGGCGACCCTCGCGATGGCGGAAACACCTGATAACGATTCCCTGGCAATATCGGCCTGTCTAAAGGCGGTATCCGAATACTCTCCAATTCCGTCCGTCCATCGTTCTTCGAATAGCATCAAGCCTAAACTGCTAGGTCCTATCGCTTCTAGTCCTATCGCTTCTACTTCTGCTACTGATTCTATTGCTGGTTTGAATGCAGGTGGACCTCCAGTCTTGCGCCAATTGCTAGAGGAGGAAGACGAAGAGATGGCGCCCACTTCGCGTCGCGAGCTCCTACACAAGGATCACTTCCCGGCCCTGTTTGGAAACGCGAAGACTCAAAACTACTTAGATCCTATTTCTAAGGGACCTGGCTCTCACACGTAAGTCTGCTTTTTGCGCAGGGGCTATTCATTTACTGACAAGGGCCTGGAACCACAGGATCCGCACTCTTGCTTGGAACCCCACGGGCCAGCTGATTGCCACTGGCTCAGCAGATCGCACTCTACGAATCTGGAACCCCGAACGTCCTCATGTACGATACTCTACTGAATTGCGTGGCCACACAGCTGGTATTGAGAAGGCTCTCTTCAACCCAGTTCGCGATGCGGAGCTGGCTAGTTGCTCGGCCGACGGTACAGTGCGCTTCTGGGATGTGCGCTCCAAGACATGTGTGAGCCGTCTAGATGTCGGCGGTGAAGCATTCACGTTATCCTGGTCTGCTGACGGCAGCACAATGATCGTCGGCAAGAAGGTAAGCATGCAGTGCTGCAACTCCGCAGACTTTATCTCTCTCATGACAGAATTACTAACATGCGACATGTAAACAGGACGATACCTTAATCCCTGTCTCCGTTAAATTCCCCTCCTCTCCTACCACCCACGCTGATGGCGTGAATGCTCTCAACCTTCCCTCCTCTACCCCCGGCACAACTACATACACAGCTCTCGACCCTCGTCCTCAGACCGTCCAAACAAATGCGACAACCTTCTCCTGGTGTATGCCGACACCCGAACGTCCGGAGCAACATGTATTTGTGACGACTGGTGAAGGCAAGGTTAAAATCATGTCCTACCCTTCCTTTGATATTATGCACACCCTCAATGCCCACACCTCAGCCTGCCTTTCAATTGCGCTTGCTCCAACAGGCCGATACCTTGCAGTTGGCGGAAGTGACGCCCTCATCTCGCTCTGGGACACAACCGACTGGATCTGCCGTCGCACTTTGTCCAGCGAGAATGGTGGCGCTATTCGCGGTGTAAGCTGGAGCTTCGATGGCCGCTACATTGTTGGCGCATGCGACGAGCTTGGGTGTGGTGGGAATGGACTGGAGATCTTCCATGCTGAGTCTGGTGATAGGGTTCACACAATTCCTACTGCGGGTATCAATGCTGGTGTTTCCGCAGTTGCGTGGCACCCCTCTCGCTACTGGTTGGCTTACTCGACTACCACTGATGGACCTGGTAGTTCCAGTGCTGGAGGCTTGAAGATTGTCGGTGCTGCTGGTGGTAGCCTGTAATCTCTAGCATTTTAACACCCTTCCGCTTCTTCAGTGGGCTATTTTTTCTTTTGCGCTAACCTGACGATCCAGGTTGTTATCAAAAATTATCATGAATGGACGTACTAAAAAAAGATCAAACAAGTATGATGAATCAGTTATTAGATTTTGATGTAATATTGTAGTGACTGGTTATAAACATGAACTAAAAGGTCCAAATACTCCGATTTCAACTGTATAAGTGAAGAGTTCCGCCCAAAAAAGACCGTTCATTCGTTCGTCATCAAATCATTCAACCCAGAGGTTAATAAAAGCTGATCGAGTATCACTTTACTCGAACATTGTGGCAAGAGAATTGCAAATGGATTTGCAACGCCGTGGTTAGTAAATTAACCCCGGGAAAAGAAGGCACTCAGTCCAAGTAAATGGTCCTCAATATTTGTGGTAGGAGACCAATGCCTCACGCATATCAATTCAGTCTGCAGCCGGGGGGCAAAAATGAAAGCAAAAGAGAAGTATCCAATAGGATGATGGCCTGCTTCGAGTCACATATGAGATCCCCAACCAGGATTGATAAAGGTCTCGATGGGTCGTTCGAGTTGGGAGAGCCTATGACCTCGGACTTGAGTAGGTGGAGGGGACACAGAGCCTAGCACCCCATGTCATTTGTGCAGCGGCAATATGAGAGACTTCCATTTGTTATAACAATTTCAAGCTTGTGGGTTGTTGATATCGGAGACCTTTCAAGGGAAAGTATATTCCGCACGTGCTGCGCTCATGATGGTCGCCAGTTCTGCCAGCCAGCGTTGGTCCCATTTTCGCTCTGGATTTGGCTATTCAGCATCTGAGCCCATTGGGCTTCACTGAAAGTATCCATGTTTAGATTTCCAAAGTCCTCATTGCCCGTTTCTGGGTCTGGGTTGGGAAGGTCCCACGCAGAGGGTATGGAAAAGATTCCCGACGCTCCTGTAGGAAGCGATGGGCTACCAGAACTGTTTGGATAAAACTGACCAGCCATGGAACCCAAATCAGTAGCCTGTGGGTTTGGGTTTCCTTGTGACATTATGTTTGGATTGACCTTGTCAAAGGACGGAGCCGACCCCTGACTCGGATATACCGAGTTTGTCTTTTGATGCTTGTTTCCGGGTGATGGGTCGTCAGCACCGCTGATCGAATAAGAAGTGTTGGAGGATGAATTCATGGTTGAAGGGGTGGGATGATCAGATGGTGGGTTGTTTTTATCGCTGAGGTTGCCAAAATCAGGTGGAAAATCCATGTCCATATCGATAATGGCCCCTGGGGGTCCGGCTTGAGTGGAATTTCTCGAAAAATGACGCATTTCCTCACCATGAAAGTCCGACCCTGCGTTAAGCTGTGTCACTGAGTCCCTGTTCCGGCTAGGGAGAGACGTCGTCGAACCGGTAGGCATAGGCTGTTGATTGCTACCGCGATTGATACTGTATTGAGGAGACTGATTATGCGCGGTCCCTTGTGACTGGCGGACGTCGTACATAGGTGTACATTCGACATTTTCATGGCAGTATGATTGCTAGAGAAAATTAGATTAGCTTCAATTAACCCTCGGGGAACAAGCCAGGGAAACATACTACCATTGAATGTGCAGCAGACATTTTCTGTCTATCGTTCAAAGCGCGAATGCCAGTTCCGTCAAGATCAACGTCCAATTGAACAAGGAAGGACTCAGTTAGAGGGTTTTTGTTCTTCATGGCGTTCAGAGCGGAGACGAGAAATTGCAATGAGGACTGAACACTAGAGTCCTCTGGCCGGGATTTGAGATACTGCACAAAGACACGAGCAGCAATATAGAGACAAAATGACATGAAAGGATTCAACTGCAAGGTGTTAATCCAAAGAATTCTGGTTAAAAAGGCTCAATAGAAACTCACATTTGTTAAATCAACGTGGCTGATCATCTTCATGGTACTTGAAATTTGGTTCGCGGCGACAAGGCATCTACGCTTGCTTTCTGTCGTAATCTGATTCGGCATCTTATTTTTTTCGGCTTTGAATATTGCCGCTTGGTGAAGACATATGGTGGAAGTATGAATGCTCATGTTGGCGAAAATGACGTTCACGTCCGACATACCACTTGGGAGTCGAAGATGATCAGGCAAGGAGAGCGAAATATGCAGAAGAATATTATCATGACTTCTGTGGCGCTTCCAAAACTCTCCATTGAGGTCATGATCGTTGTCTTGGGGTTGAGGTCGATGGATGTGTACGAGGTTACGACCGAAGAGGCTTGCTAAAACCACCACGTATGCAAAAGGTGCTAGCGTAGCAACACCCTCTCCAGTGATGATGTCGTTCAGATGAAGTGTTCGTTGTGGCTTGCTCTTGGTAAAAGATTCTTCGGATGCGGGAAGGTTGGTCCTGATCTGATTACTGTTAGCCTATCGCCCACAAAGCCATGAAGAGGGTTTACGGAAGATATACTGACATCGTTCTCATCAATAAGAATGGGCCACCCGGTTCCAACACTCGAATATCTATCCGTGGAAAATGCGGCCCAGAAGACTCTTCTGCGTTCTTCGCGCTCTGTCCAATCCCTCGGTGGTAAAATGGATTGTTTCACGTCGAGACCAACACCATCAAGCCGATTCAACCCCAGCATCAGTGCTAGTCTTGCAGCTTTACCAACGCTCAGCCAAGCTCGTGGGAAGAAGATCATTCGGAATTCGTATGTGCCGATAAATATCCATGTTTGGCAATGTGCTAAACTGACGATGTTCTCTCCGAATCCTTTCATTTCGTCCAGCTCGGCATATTTGCGTGCCCGTTGGTAGAAATGACTATGCAGAAAGAAGTATTTGTCACTGACAGATGCGGCATTGCACCATATAATGTATCGCAGGCAGATCGGTGGCCGCATATTAGGGGCGAGAGTCAGGGCTGCAAAGTAACGTGGGCGGTGGATGATGGGCATTGTTGGATAGATTTTCTCAAAGAATAAAGCTTCCCTATACGGCACCACTGTATTAGAGATAGATTCAAGTAAAAGACCACACGAGACACGTACAGTTCATCAATCACGTCCTGTGAAGGAAGAGGCTCCTCCAGTCCTAAACTGATCAAGTCCCATTGAGGGTTGCCTCCACCCTGAGTAGTGGGCTGCGAAGGATATAACATTTGACTTGGTTGACCTGCGCCTGCCAAAGATGAGAAGGAGTTATCCATGTTACCTCCAATACCTCCTAGGTCCGAGAGCTCAGGCAGGTCCAGTATAGATTCATCGGCGATGGGTGCTGTGAATGCATTCTCCAATGGTCGAGATGGGGAGGTTCGTTGGATTGGTTCTGGATCCTGGCCTTTGAGAAGAGTCTCTACTTGAGCTGACACAGTCATTATCATTAGCATACAGCTCGTTGTTGATATAGAATTTGTGACCTTGTTCTCAACGAGTTCGTACCTAATCGGGCTTCAAGCTGTTTGACATATCCCCGTTTCGGACCACTCTTCTTGCGCACTTCGTCGTAAGAGCATTCATGCCCCAGACGTGAACAAGTCCCACAACTTGGTCGTCTCCCATCACACCTTAGTTTCCTTCTCCGACAGACAACACATGCGATGCGCTTGGGGCGGGGCACGAAGTTGCCTTCTCCGGTGCTAGTGCTTTCGGCAGCGGCGCCACTTTCAACGCGCATGAATTCCATTTGAGACGGGTCGGATTCTGTGGAGTACTGCAACGATTCGGGTCCAAAATTGGACGGCGGAAGTGCCGCCATAGCGGGCTTGGTTGCAGATGATGTTATTTAGGTAGGATGTAGTGGCTGAGTAATTCGAGTGGATGAATTATTGGCCAACTTTTGTTCGCGCGCGAACCTTTTTTTTGGGAGAATGACGTGTACAGAATAAACCTAAGGCGACAAAAAGCCAGGAACACCCAAGAGTTCGCCAAATTTGCCGAGATGGAGATGTGAAAATAAAGTGCTATGGATGACGGAAGTTCGTATCAGGAAAGGCTGAGTTCCACCCCAACTCGTATGAAGAGCTAGATCAAAGAACCCCTATTTTTCTATTTCGATGGGATTCCAATGAGAACTATGGGGAAGACCTAAATTTCCATTCTAAACATTCTAACCCCTGCAAGAGCGTTGACAGGTGAGGGCCACGCACCAGCGAGGTTGCCTAGAGGCTTGGCACCCATCTACAAGACATTTACCATATCTACTTGCAGATCATTGAACCCATTACCGTCCATCGAGTTTATAAATCTATTTTCTTTCGCTTTGAATGTATATGGCCTCGAGTCATCGTACTGTACAGTGCCCATTGCCCAAGCTTCAGTCAGATGGCAGATGCGCGAAAAAAAAAGGAATCCCCAAATAGCGTGTGGTAGAAGAAATGAGACATTTAATGTGTCAAAAAAACAAGAGAAGATATCGTACAGTCATCCTTTGCGTGGTAGGGATGAGGTATAGGGTGATGAGGTACAGATGGTTCAGAGACAAAGCATAGGTAGTAAAATGGCCACTTCGGCAAAGCAGCATCATCTCTAATTGTATCCACGACGGCGCTTTCCTTGGTTGCGAGGTCTGGCATGAACAACAGCCTTGTTGATCTTCCACTTGGGGCGGGTCTTATAGCCGGACTTAGTCTGCGGGTGAAAACAACAGTCAGTCCCATGGAAGTTCAGAAGGTGCAAAACAAAAGGGAATACATACCGGAATACCCCAAGGACTCTTCGGGTCGACGTTACCCTTGGACTTTCCTCGTCCACCACCGTGAGGGTGGTCCATGGCGTTCATGGCCAGACCACGCACAGTCGGACGAATGTTGAGATGGCGTGAGCGACCAGCCTTGCCGAGCTGGGTGTATTGGTAGTTCGGGTTGCTGGTGATACCAACAGTAGCGCAGCAGTCCTTGTGAATGAGGCGAGTCTCGCCACTTGAGAGACGGACAGTAATGTGCTGGGCCAGACGCTCCTGCTTCTGCTGCTCACGCTGGGACAATGGCTTCTTTTCGGCCTCGGGTTCTTCGTCTTGGATCGTTTGCTGGCGTGAGTCACTGCCCTTAGCCACGACTGTAGCATAGGTTCCAGCACTCCGACACAATTGACCACCCTTCCCAGGTCGTAATCCCACGTTGAAAATCAACGTTCCCACGGGAACCATGTGCAACGGCAGACAATTTCCTCTCCAGGCGGTTCTGGCCGCGAGCACACCGGGATCGACAGCGCTACCCATACTCTTCCACAGATCTTCAGGAATTCCGGACATATAACTCTGGACTACGTCGCCGGCGCGCATTCCATCCGCTGCGAGAATGTAGCTTAACTTGCCGGTCTCCTTACTAGCAGTCAGAGCAATATGTGCAGTGCGCCCAGGATCATACTCGATACGCTCCACTGTGTGCGGCCCCGGAGCCATGCGCAGAAAATCGATTGTCCGAATTCGACGCTTCGCACCACCTCCGTGATGGCGGACAGTGACTCGGCCAGAGTTGTTTCGACCACCCTTGGCGTGGCCACGTTTAGGGAACGTTAATTTGTGCACCGGGCGGCCTTTCCACAGATGGTCATTCACAGGACGCCGTAAATGTCTCACACCGGGGGTGCGCGGAGTGTAGGTGCGCAGCTGAATGCCAGCAGAATCGCGGCTGGGTGGAGGAGCAAATGAGACGTTCGGGTCGATAAAAGTGTTGACTGGTGTTTCGATAGGCTTGGGCTTGTTCTGCTCAATTTCATTCATAACTGTCGAATAGCCACGAACTGGCGAAGGCAGAGAGGGTAGACACCTAAAGGGCAGCCGAATGCCCCGTAGGGCAATTCGGGTTTGAAGCATTGCTGCCAAAGAAGTGGGAGGAATAAGGAAGACGGGGTTTCGGGGAATTAATTGACTAAAGAAGGGATGGAAGCCAAATGTCAATGGTGTAGACCAACAAAGACTCAACAGCTCCTCTCCTCTGCTTTGTAGATATGCACCTGACTATCCGCTGAAACAAAAAGTTCACCCACCACGTGACCTTCATCCTGGACCGCCTCTCCAGCCACAAGCACCGCCTTATGTTCAATACACGTGACTCTTTATTACAAGATTCGATACTTGTACAAACCCGAAACGTCTGTTGTCGGAGCAACCCATTTATTTACCCTTTGCACGCGTATCTCCCTTCATTGCTGGATCTACTTTTCTTAACCTATCTCAACGCATCTTTTCCTTGTTTCTATTCTGTTCTTCATTGCTCAGCCTAATTCTTCATTTTACAAATTTTACGGGAAAAAAAAGGGCTTGAACGTCAATTAAGTGATCCACGCGACTGGCTGAGTGGGGCTACTTGTTTTCCACGCTAAGCCACAGTACTAGGGCCAAACATCGCCTTTTGCCCTCAAGCTCTCTTCCTTTTCCCTCATCATTCCAGTTAAAGCTACCATTTCATCTTCCCCCCACTCCCCCTACTAACAATTATCGCGTGTGGATTTCTGGTGTACAGTGTCCCCAGATCATTTCTCTATCATTTGACATCTTTTTCCTGCCATTAGCGCGCTATTTGATCTTCGGAACAAGGGTTCGGCGCGGTCTTGATACGCATCAACATAGTCTTGTTTGGGCCGTAATTATCGACTCATATCACCTCCACCTGTCTGAAAGCTACCTCTGCCGACTGGCATTGTAGTTTCTTCAGTACAACCGCATTTTCACGCGTGGTACGTGCACCTCATCCTCAACCCTCTGGTATGAGGTCCCCACCGAGGAAATGTCGATTGGAATGCTAACCTGATTTCCTGAACAGGACAAGAATCGTTATATTCCTGTCCCCTTTCTTCCCTTTTTACGCGTCGCTTTCCTTTTATTATCTTCACGATGCCTCAGGTAAGTAATATTTAACCTTGCCAAAACACGCGTTTGATATCTTGGTCGCGGGATATCATATCCATAGCTTCGAGATCTTGGCATATCCTACGATCTCACTGGACTGATCACTGACTCCCTTGCAGGCCCGCAGCCTTCGCACCAGAGGCACGATGAATGAGAACGATGAGAACGGTCCGTCAGCACGTGTGACGCGGGCCAAGGCAGCCGCCCTGACCACCAATGTCTCTGCCGCTGGAGCCAAAAGAACCCTGCAGACAAAGCGAACCACATCGACCACCACGACTAACGGAACTCAACGTCCTCGTGCTGCCCTCGGTGATGTCAGCAATGTCAACAAGACGGAAGGTGCTGAGGTGAAAGCTGGGAAGAAGCCGGTCGCCACCAAGGCTGGTTTGACCTCTAAGGCAACTGTCCAAACTGGAGGTGTTCAGAAGCTCAGCCGCACCAACTCCTCACGAACTGCCCTGCAACCCCGCGACTCGAACAAGAAACCCAACGCCCCCAAGCGCCCGTCGTTGAAGGATACCCCCGTGGAGGAACCTCCCCGCAAGAAGCCCGAGCTTGAGCGAAAGACCCGAACTCCTATCGAGAAGATTGTGGAAGAACCAGGGAAGGAGGATCCTAGCGTGAAGGATGCTCTGAATGACGCTGTGCAAGATCTGGACACTGAGGACTTGGACGACCCATTAATGGCCGCCGAATACGTTGTTGAAATCTTCGAGTATCTCAAAGACCTTGAGATCATGACTTTGCCCAACCCTGATTACATCGACCATCAGCCCGATCTTGAATGGAAGATGCGTGGGATCCTTGTCGACTGGCTTATCGAAGTGCACACCCGTTTCCGTCTCCTCCCTGAGACCCTGTTCCTTGCTGTCAACATCATCGATCGCTTCCTGTCAGCTGAAGTTGTCGCCCTTGATCGTCTTCAGCTCGTTGGTGTTACCGCCATGTTCATTGCTTCTAAGTATGAGGAGGTGCTCTCGCCTCATGTCGCCAACTTCAGCCATGTCGCCGATGAGACCTTCTCGGACAAGGAGATTTTGGATGCCGAACGTCACGTCCTCGCCACCCTCGAGTACAACATGAGCTTCCCCAACCCCATGAACTTTTTGCGACGTATCTCCAAGGCCGATAACTATGATATCCAAACCCGCACTCTGGGCAAGTACTTGATGGAGATCAGTCTCCTCGATCACCGTTTTATGTGCTACCCCCAGAGCCATATCTCTGCCGCAGCCATGTACCTTGCACGTCTCATCCTCGAGCGTGGACCTTGGGTATGTTAAATTACATTTAACCTGTTCATACATCTCAACTAACTTATCATAGGATGCCACTCTCGCTCACTACTCTGGATACACTGAAGAGGAGATCGACCCCGTCTTCCAGTTGATGGTTGATTATCTCCACCGCCCGGTCTCCCACGAAGCCTTCTTTAAGAAATATGCCAGCAAGAAGTTCCTGAAGGGTAAGTATCGTTGGTATTCCCTTGTCTCCCGAGACGACATGCTAACTAGTCTTCTAGCTTCTATCTTGACTCGCCAATGGGCCAAGAAGTATCACCACCTTTACGTGGACAGCTCCGATCAGAGCAGTTACGCCAAGGATGAACAGTAATTGTATCATTTACGATGTCATGCTACTCCTGTCTCGCCAACGTCGATGCCTTTCATGACTCCCTAGGGCCTTGAGACGACTTGAGCAGGGAAATCGAATTCCTACATATGTTGGCATTTCATTGTGCTGGTATTCACTTCACTACCTTTTTGCATATTCTTACGACGACTTGATTGAATTTCTGCGCTTTCCGCATTTGTCTTCTGTGATGGGGTGTTCGGCGCTCGGCCCTGTGTGCTATTGTTTTCTTCTTTTATCCCCTACATCTTCACCCTCGGCTTGCTTGTTTTCCATGCATCAGCATCTAACTCCCGCCTGCCTTGATATCTTTTACCTTCTCACACGTGTTGCAGGCGTCGGGGTCTATTTTTCTCTTCAAACAATTTTACCTTGATTCACCCCGATTCGCCTTGGTCTTAGGTCGGACGGTGCAGTGTATCCTCTTTGGATCACCTTTTTTGTTTTATCATGCAAGTTCCGAAGGCTTGCATGTTTGCGTGGCATTGCGGATTGGAAATCTTTTGTGGAGCCAAGGTGGCTATGTTCTTTTTTTGTTACTCAGGTGTTTCCCAATTCATCAACTGGGAGATTCAATTGGTTATTGAAGCTGAGTCTTCCAGGCAGGCGAGATTGATATCAAATGGACGAGGTAATCGGTGAATCGGTGACAAGTTGGAACGCTTTTGTTTTTGTTCAAAATAGTTGGATTTTTAACACTGGATCCGTGTGTATGGCGTGCTTATTGAAACCATTTCTTCTTTCATTTTGGGTGTATAGTATATCTGAAGTTGTAGATGCGTCCAATTAAGCTTATGCTTAGCCGAGGTTAGTCCAAGGTTCCAAGGTTGGTCCCGGTGAGCCGCTGAATCACCACCTCCATCTTGTTTACAATAGTTACATCTTTCTTTGGGGCTGATACTGAACCAGGTATACGAACCTACTCTTGGACTGGATAAATAGACTATTCTATATGCCATCATGGATTCCATTACACCTCCGCCGTGTCCGTTCTGCAACATCGCCTCATCATATCCCCCAGCCCCCTTCAATGACCCTGAGTCCAATCCAGCCTCTACTATCTCGGGTTCAGGCCCATTGTCCCATGTCATACTCTCCACTGAGCATGTTCTCGCCTTCTTGGACATCATGCCGCTTACCCGCGGCCATGTCCTTGTAGCGCCAAGACATCATTACAAGTTGCTAGGAGACATGGGTGTTCAAGCAGGACAGGAGGTATGTACTTATTTCCCATCAGTTCAGATATAATTGTGCCGAAAAATCACTTCTTTAGCTAATTCTCTTTGATTTGTCGCATAGATGGGAAAATGGCTGCCTATTCTCTCCAGGGTAGTAACGAAGGCTGTGTTCGGCGATGATCCCGATAGACATTGGAATGTTGTACAGAACAACGGTATGTCTTCTCCTTTTTTCCGTTTCCCCCTTGAATTGGTTTCAATTCGGGGTATTGCTACACTGTATGCTGTTACTCCGTATGTATGTATCAATATTGGCATTCAGGGAGGTTGAACACCCCTTACCGATATGTTCTTTTATTTGTCACTGAATTGAAACGGCATGAATGTCTACCACGCATCTTATTCAGAAGAAAAAACTGCAATCATCTAACTGAGCGACAGGCGAAAGAGCAGCACAGGTAGTACCCCACGTCCATTTCCACATCATCCCCCGCCCTGCTCAAGGGGTCAATCAGAGAACAAGCTTTGCTATGTTCGGCCGTGGGCAGAGAGAGGAGCTCGACGATGATGAGGCTGCGGCCTTGACTCGTGAGTTGAGAATTGAGCTGGCTGAGGAAGTCAAACGAATTCAGAGGGATGAAGGCGTGGACTTGGCTGCAGACTTGGTTCCAGAAGGAAGCCAGCGAGGGAAGCTGTGAACCACATTTCATCTTGTATTCTCTTTTGTTCTTTCATCTGATCATTGGTCCCATCTTCGCTGTACATAGGCATTTTTATTACTCAGCTTTGAAAGCCTCCAAGCTGAGGGATAGGCTAGATCGCTCTCTATCTGATTTTCTATGTTGAGGTTCTTATTCTGCCGTTTTTTGGTCCTTCTCGACCCTAGTGCCGTGGCCTCGGAGCATATGCTGGTTCAAAAAGTTAGTCAAGCACTGAGCGGCTATCTCCCAAATGAAACGTACCACTCGTCGGAATGCATTGAGATCATCCGCTCTAGTACCCTGATCATCAATCTTTTTCCGGGCCAGTGTGATATCCGACAATTGTCCCTCGGGTAGGCGGCGATAGGTTATAAGTCGGCGAGACCCTACAAGACAAAATTTAGCCAATCCTTTCCAATATCATGGTTGCACCACACAAGGCCTTCACTTACAGGTGTTGAAATACTGCACAGAGATACTGACGATTTCGAGATTCTGATGCATTGGAACAGGGAACTCGGTTTTCTCATCATTTGTTGTGGGCATCCACATTGACAAACGGCCATTGGGAACCAAGGAGTGAACTGCGAAGTTGAGAACATCGTTCTGCAAAGCCTCGAAGCCATAAGGCTTTTTCGGAGGCACGTAACCGGGTCGGCTAGGTCAAAGAGTCAATATTATAAGTCTGCGACAACGAGGCAAAATAAAACATACAGATGAGCAGGGACGCCATCAATGATGACATTGACTGCGGGTTTTCCCCTACGATTTCCCAGAACCCGCAGCCCTTCACGCACACCGTATGGCGGATCGCAGACAATACCATCAAGGATGGCGGTTCTCCGCAGAGGCGTGTTGGTGAGATCGGAAGTGAATGTATCAACAAATTTGCTCTTGATCCCATATTGGTCGAAATTTTCATATATGCCCAATTTTCCGGTTACTTTGCCACGGAAGCTTCGGCCATCAATGTCTGCGCCCAGAGTCAGAGCGCCGAAATGCGAAGCAGCAATTATGAAACTTCCAGTTCCGACAAATGGATCAAAGAACAATTTCCCAGGTGCGGCAAGAGCCATGTTCGCCGTAATGAGACTCAGCTCCGCATCCATGGAAGTTGTACTGATATAACGACGCTTCTTGAGGTCGTATTTGAGCACATCCTCACGACAGCTATCGGCAATCTTGCGACTAAGGTAAATCTTCCGTGGAGCTTCAGTTCGTGATACGCCCAGTACAGAGACTTCAACGTCGTCGATGTACTCTTCCATCACGAAAAACTCCTCGTCGGGGTTTGTTAGCCGGATCGGGCCTTTGAACTCCATGTATGAGAATGATCGAATGATCTCTCCCTTCTGAGCTGGGCTGCGGGTCCCTGCGAAATAGTCAATCGTGAATTTGAATGAGACAGCATTGTAGTCGTTCCAGCGATGCTGAGTTCGTCGACGGACATCTGCATGTAGCTCTTCATAATTGGTGCCTTCGCCCCATAGCTCGAAGATATCCTTGACCAGGATACTGCGCTTCACGACGGCCCGCGCCGCAGCTTCGTCTGGTAGTCTTACGACGCAGTATGGTGACTGGGTATGTCAGTCAAATTTCTGAAAATCGAAGATGATCATGCAAAGATAAAAGATGAGGGGTGTCATAATTTCGGATCATTGTCCATGAAGTAAATTGGACGCTTCCAGCTTAGAGACAAAGAAAGGGTATCATACATATTCACAGTAACTGATGATTTCGAGGTCAACGCCTGCGAGTGTGGCACAGGCTTGAAGTTCCGGCCGTCGGAAGGTCTCATGGATCTGGGCGAACCGAACCAGATAATCCATGATGAGACGAATATATGTCTAGCTTTTTGAAGATTTATGTTTTTAACAAGTGGGAGTTCACACCATTTGTTGCTGCTTTCAAGGCGGGGTGCGGGTTGAGATTTTTTTTTTTTTTTTCTCGGGCCAGAAATATACTCCACGGAGAGACAGAGAGAGTATGGATTTTATATCAGAAATTTTATTCATTTTAATTTTACAATAAATTAATGAAATTCAGTCGTGTATGGAATATGATTCGAATGATACAATTACAAAGGGTTATTAGAACAAGATAATTGTACAGAGAGGATACGAGGAAGATTTGCAGAATGAACGATTAAACAGATCTACCTAAGTGATATAACACAGAAATATAACAACACTACTTAATATCATCACATACTATGAACAGAAACCCGAAGATACGCCTTATGACAGAATACATTCCAAAAACTCCGCCCCTATGCACCAACTACCTTGAAAACATGTCGTGATTCATATCCCTCCACCGGGGTAATATCGACCTTCTCATCGGCTGGTATCATATGGTGTTGTAGATTCCAGCCGGCCCGACGCGAAAGTTCTGATACCACCACGTCACAATCACCTAAGAGATCAATATCGAACTCGGTATGTGTCACCGGCTACAGGCCATGGTCAGTATAGTACATTGTCGATATTTTCAGTATGACTTACAGTGCGCGATATGTAGATCTGCGGGACATTGCGAGGGAGGATCCCCGGCACTTCAGCCACGGGGGCTACCTTCAACGAGGTTCCGATGACAATGACTAGGTCTGCTAATTCCCGATCTTGGTGAATTAGACGTTCGCCAAACTCGTCGGGTAGATCTTCGCCAAAGAATGTGATATCAGGCTGTACTATTTGTAAGTATGAAAGAAAGCATGCAGGGCACTCAACAGTCACCGACCTTCATCACTCCAGGAGTCGGGATTTCATAGTCATCCTCATCCGAACTGTCGTCGGAGACCTTGCGGTCTTTGTGCTGACCATTGGAACTTCGCTTGCGCTTAAGTCCTTGCGGTTTTAATTCTTCTTTTGCTATTCTCTCCTTGCAGGCGGTACAATGGGGGATGTTTCCTGCTCTGATTTCATCGAAGATAGCGTCGCCCGGGACATGGAACCCACATTTCACGCAGGTGGCTGTCGCGAAGGATCCATGGCATTGTACAATTTTCTCCGGGAGTACCCCTGCGTTTGCTTCAATGTTATCGATATTCTGGGTGTAGTTGGTTAACAGCTTGCCCTTGTCCTGTAGAAGCCGAATGAACCCATGGGTGGGCGACCATTTCTTTTCTGTCGGGAGAATATCCTTGGCAATTGAAAAGAAAACACTCGGGTCCTCCCTGAAAACATTGATATCAAAGACTTCTTGTGGATCGCTCAGGCCCAGATGCGTCAGTTTTGAATAGAGCCCAGTGTCCTTAGAACGGAAATCGGGAATGCCTAGGCTTGTTGAGATCTGGTAAAATACAGGTTAGCATTTATGGATTAGGAGCCTTCTGCATATAATTTAATATGAACATACACCTGCACCTGTCAGAACAACGATGTTCCGAGACTCGCGAAGAAGCCGAACAGCATCGTCGATGCTGTTGTACTGGGAAAGCTTGGGCCTCCGGGAAAACTCGCGCGAGATCGCGATCGCCAGAAGAGAATGGTAAGACTCATCTGGGGCACCATCAAGGAATGCCGGGGGCGCGATTCCAAATGCCGTGCACAGCTTTTTGGCCGTGACGGTTTCGCGGAGGAGGGTTTCTTCCACGAACGCTGCCTTACCAATGGCATGTAAACGCTGTCGATATGCAGTCGCCTCTTCTAGAGTACAGGCACCGGGAACTGCGACGGAAAAGCGAGCGCATTAGCCAATGTTCGTTCTGATCTCCGAGAGCGGGGGTGTCCGGGGTAAGATGTGAGGGTGGATATAATTACATACTGAGCCCGTCGCGGATCTGGTCATCGCGTAGGAACTGGATCGCCTCATCGCAGTTAGACAGATGATCCCATCCATCGGAATCATCGCTGTCCGTCTCCAAATCCGACGAAATCTCAAGTGCGAGGTCCGGCGCGTCGTCGTCCATAGCGTACTGATCGTCCACATCCAGGGCCTCTACTTCAACTACGGTGGTCTTCAGCGAAGACTCTCCTTTTGGGGCTGGTACCAAATCCATTTTGCAGGAGTTTGAGATGCCAGCCACGGAGACAAACTCTTCACTCGCGCTTGAAATCTGCTCTGGCAAAAATTCGGGCATCTGCCTCACCGGAGGCAACTTAATCCGGAACCGATGAATGAATTGGAGTGGCGATATCAAAGAAAGGTTTTGGTTTGTTGGTTCAGGGGGTCGACAATGAAAAAAAAAAAGAGACAAACATTTAGGGTGGGTGGGGGGTATGAAAGAAACTACTTATAGAAGTATTGAATCAAATAAATCAATGAACATGTACATCATCTCATGTGGTCGTCACTTTTGGTATCTATGAATCTGCCATCTCATCGTCGGAGTCGACTTCAATCTCCTCATCTGAATCCTCGCCTTCTCCTTCCACTTCAGCTTCACTCTCATCATCCTCTCCAATTTCTTTGGTGATTTCCTGTACAAGCTCCAAAGCATGATCGCGAAGTCGGTCATCCTCATACTGAAGGACATCGTAGAGCTTCAGGCTTTGCTTGAGCCATTCACGACTAGCGTCTAGTGATGCATGTCGCGGGGACTCGGCAAGCTCCTCAACGGTCGCATCCTTAGGTGCCTGTTGCTTTTCTGCCAACAGGAAGAGACACCAGCCTCCGAGGTACCAGGCCTCTACACTTTGATCATCCTCTAGAATCAAGCGCTCGAGGACTTCCAGAGCCTCGAACTCCATATTAACTTCCATTAGGAGTCGCGCAAGACTGATGCGCACTGCAAAATCGGGAATCTTGAGATCTTCTGGGGCCAGGTCCTTCCAAAAGCTCATACTGCGAGTGAGCGCGGATCGGGCATCTTCGGTGCGCAGTTGTGAAATGCGGATGGAGGCGAGTGTCTGTAGTACCTCCGGGGCCTCGGGTGTGATAAGGAGGGCTTCCGTAATAAGTGCTTCACACCGAGCTTCGGCATCCTCTTCCCAGCTGAACGAGTATGTTAGCGTTGGCCCACATAAGATATAGAATGTAGAGGAACTCACGAAAGGTCGGTCATGTAGGTTTCAGCGACGGCGCAGAGTGCATTAGACAGCTTGACCTTCTTCTGTTCGATATCGGCAATCTCCTCTGGTGATGTTTTTCCCTCAAGAGACTGAATAGTCTGTCTGAGAGATGCTACACCCATCTCAAACCACAGGACGCTGTCCTTTCCACCTTGCTCACTCAATTGTGCAAGCCATAGGAACTTCTCGGCTCCTCCGCCCTGGGATTCCGGTACCGAGCCATTTTGATCGAGTTGAACAGCCTGAAGGAAGCAGTTTCTAGCAGTATCGATGTCGCCTAGTTCAACATTGATTTCTCCAAGCAGGTTAATAGCGGGGAGCTGTGCAGTGGTGTTTTCAGCAGTCAAATCCAGAGCCTGCTGTGCGACGGCGAGTGCCTCATCTGCTCGGCCAGTTTGTAGGAGGATTGTGGCTTGGTCCAGTAATGTCGAGGGATCTTGAGCCATGCTGCCTTTCGAGATTGAGCCACCAGGGCCAAGGACGGACTTTTCGCGGGGTTTGGATGACTTCTTCTTTTGCGGTCTAGGCTTTCCCATGGCAGGACGCAGCGAAATTCAATAAAAAACCGTGATATCGTCGACTGGGATATCAGACAGAGTGACAATTATAAACCGGTATCTATTTAAAAAAAAAAGTGAAGCTCCGCAGCCAAAATTTTGGAGCAGATGTTTGACGGGTTTGCATGTGGGACCGCAATATTCGCCGCGTTGCGTTTAGTCTCGTTCAGATTCTGCCTGCAGTATATTTCCGAGAAGACTAGAAGGCTACTAGAAGACTTCAAAAAGGCCACAACCTTCTAATGTTGTCGTATACGCGGCTGACTATCAAAAGTTTACCTATGTAGCTAACTCAGCAGGTATCCTCTATACTCAAATGAAAAGCCAGCGGTGAGCCAGACGGTCAAAAATTTACTATGCGCCCGGTAGCCGACTGTGTAGCATCCTCAGGGAAGGCATTGGCGGGAGCACTAGAACTTCCCTAATACCCCCAGGCCTGCATGGATTTAGCTCAGAATTTCCATATATATATATATATATCTACATGTACTTATGTAGGCAAATCTCCCAATGGGGCAAGCACATAACAATAGCATGAGCGTAAAGTACCCAATATAATAATGATGCACATACTAGCCACATGGTTCCTCTTATATGTAGCTACTTAGGGATTTCTTCCAGCTAGAATATTAGCAAGCGAGTCCGGGTATTCCAATTCGAGCCCACAATGGCTGGAAGCTGGCGAGGATGACGGGGAATCGATACAGTCACGTGACTGGTCTTGGCCTCGACGGTTGATTTAGTTTGCGCTCCAATCTTTCTTCGAAGCTGGTTAATATTGCGATATCTCAAAGTCCTGCCGAGACCGACTTTAAATATACACAGATAGAGCTACTATTGTCCCTCTACGCGGTGTTTTCAGAAGAATCTGCACTCCAGCTGCGCTCAAATCGTTACCCCTCCAATCCGCGGGCGGATCAGCAGCTATGGGTCGCGAAGACCAGATTGAGGAGCGTGAAGTGCTCGATTCAATCTTCCCTGACGAAATTACCGGTAAGTAACAAACAAGGCCTGCAGACGACTCAATTTCCCTTTTTATCTTTGCTCACAGCAAGACCCGGCACTTAGACATATCCGAAACCTCGTACCGAGTAACCATAGCCCTCGATGCCCTTGAATATGAAGGCGACGAAACGGAACAACCCGTGATATGCCTGGAAGTTTCTTACCCTGAGGATTACCCCGATGTTGGCCCAAATCTTACCATTTCCTCTCCGCCCAACGCCGTGAAGCATGCTCGACTAGATGTCCAGGAAGACAGGGACCTACTGATGGAGTCTCTTCAGCCTACAATCGAAGAGAACTTGGGCATGCCCATGATATTCACACTGGTCAGCGCACTTAAGGAAAGCGCAGAACAACTTATGATCGAGCGAGCAGATGCCATTCAGGCTGAGAAAGACCAAGTCGCTGCAGAGAGAGAGGAGGAGGAAAACCGAAAATTCCATGGCACACCTGTCACGGTCGAGTCGTTCTTGGAGTGGAGTGCCAAGTTTAAAAAGGAACAGGAGGAGGAGGAGCTTCGGGCCCGCGAAGAAAAGGAATCGGAGGACAAGAAGAAAAAGCCCACGAAAGAGGAGAAAAAACTCACAGGCCGGCAATTGTGGGAGAGAGGCTTGGCCAAGGGTGATTATGATGAGGAAGATGATGATGCCTTGCCGCCCGTTGAGAAGCTCAAAGTGGCTGCATGAGCTAATACATAGAAATGTTAATGACCTACCATTACTTCATGAAATTATGTATTATAAGATTGTTATATTGGTGTGATCATATTGAGCAGTAAGTGAGCTTCAATGTTGTACATATCCAAGGGTAGGTGGAGTAATATACAGGTCTGAGAGTCCACATGGACTTAGATTATGGTGCTCGACAATATAATGCTCAATCATTAGACAGAAACAGGACCCGAAATATAGCTGTTGTCTTGGGTTGAGCTTCTTTCTGGAGCACAGTAACCTCGATATGCTAGCAGTGGTGCCCATTGACCGGATATGACCAAGAAAGGACATACATGGATAATGTACCACGCCTCTCTGGAAACTTCGAGCTTCCGACTTTCGCTTTCTAATTCCAGGCGATATTGACAATAGCATGGCAATAGACGTAGGTGGCTCTAATGTGACCAGGCATGGACCTGCTATAACGGCCATATGGCTTGACCAACATTCGTCTGCCCGAAGGGGAGGGGAATGTGCTTTGAGATGGCAACGACACGTGCGTGGCAAGGCGGACCACAACCACTCGGTTTCATTGCTTTGGCTGCTTTTGGCTAGCTTCTTCTTCCGCCAAAGCCTTTTCAGCTAGAACAATCTTCCACATGTTATTTGCAAGCTCTTTGGTATGCATGTCGAAGTTTCCAATTTTCGTATTGACATCGGCTATGGCATTTGCAGGATGCTCATACCAAGTGGACGACTCCTTCGTCTTAGTGATGCGATCCCACTCTTCTTCGTCCTTGGCGAAAAGTAGTTCTATTTTCAGCCTGTCCCGACGTTCAATCCAGTTCCAACGACGCCCAAGTTTTGTTCGTATCACACTGCTAACATTTCTCGGCTGCGGTTTCTTATAGCGCAAGAATGGAAGCCCGCGTGCATTGACAAGTACAGGGACATTGCGCTTTTTGTCACCCAGCGACCGAGGTCGCTCGAGGATCGATGTAGCATTCGGATGCCGCTGAGATGTTTCTTCCTGGAAGCGAATTGACTTTTCCTTTCGAGCTTGCTTGGGCGTAAGAGGTTTGGCAGGCGGTGCTACTGGCCGGATTTTCCTTTGCATCGCAGCATACTTATCTTTCTGTGACCTAGCTTGGGCTATGAGAGTTGTGATCCGGTGTGCATCTTGTTGATTGGTATGGGACGAAGAGAGGAGATCTAGAGCCTGTCATACGGCGACGAAATATCAGCACATAAGCTCAGCCCAGATGAAGATTCGATACGCATACCTCATAGCCTGCCCTCAACGCATTTGCTGATTGTGATGGGCTCTGTAATTTCTTATATTTTCGGAAGTTCTGCCGAACGAGAGGTTTGGTCTCATTCAGCCACGGGGTGTCTGCAGTTGAAGGACGGCATTGTCGGAGAAGTGCTCGATAAAGTGCCAAGCCTATCATAGGTTGTTAGTTAGAAGGGCTGGAAATGTAAGGGGTTATCTCTTACAAGCAAATCGATGAGCTCCAGAATACTTGGGAACCAGTACTTTATGCATTCTGCCGTGTTGAATGGTTATACGGAGTACCAGTAATGAAGCTTGGGTATATGGCATATAGCTATACAAGGGACACCGCCCCAATCACCGCCTATTGTAAAGGAATTAGCGTACCCAATTACATATGCGTTGGCGGAGTCCCAATCCGGTTAATGTTCTCCGCTCCCTGTCCGTGGTTGAAAAAGGTCACGTGACCACACGTACCTATATATATCTGACCCGGCCGACAGATCTTCCTCTTCTTTTCTTCCTTCTTTAGCTCTCTTTGCCTATTGGCTTAGATCAAGTGTAGTATCTGTTCTTTTCAGTTTAATCTCTGAAAGTTTCCGTCCAGGAAACACTTTGATTATTCCTATTTTTGTACCTCGTGACTTGGCCCCTGTGCTTGCGCATGCCTTGTTGCACAGTGTCATTGGGCTTACACTACCCCCAATAGACGCGACTCCTTTTTCATCAATTGTTCGGCTTGTCCGGGCGTTTGGAGAAGAAGTTACTTGACTCGCACTTGATATGCACTGTATTTGTTCCCCATGATCCTGTATTGTATCACGTGTCCCACTGTCACCTTGAGGTCTTGCTATCTTATGCCTTGAAATGTCTGAACTGTGCTTGGTTTTAGACCGCTTTCGCCACCTCTCTATGTTGTATATAGTGTATTGTAATTTGAAGCTATTCCCACCACACAAATCATCAAATTGAATATTTTCCTGGCGTTGAACGTTATTCCTACTAGAACTCATCGTTTTGGTCAAATCTCACGCGTTAAACCTCCCTCCGACCGCACAAACGAATCATCAAATTAAAGCAGGAATCAGGCAGCGATGCATATTTTAATTGAAATTAAACACAGGCCACTAAACATTTTCGCACCCATGGTCTTGCCTAATAACCCTTGCCTTGCTCTGACCTTACTGGGTGATCTTGATTTGATGCCATTGTTTGACTTCTCTTTGACATGTCCCCCAAGGGCTGGTCGAACCCGCACATGGAAATACAATAAAGGACTGGATGATTAATTCTACTCATTATCTTGTCACTTAACAAAGAAATATCATCTGTTTTTGTTATTTGTAAACAGGCGCCTGCCGCAATGCCCAATTCCACGAAGCAAAACACTTTAGAGACGAATACCTAATGTAGGGATGAAAATTGAAAGTTGGGGCCCAAACGAGCCCCCGCCAATGCCTTCATACAGAGACTGTACACGCTCTAGGGTCAAAGAAATAAGAAGAAGCCAGAAAATTTGAATGAAGCCGACCCTGATACTCCGAGATCCGCCTGCACCGAGTGGGTCACATATACTGGACTAGAAAGTCGAGCCCTCTGGGGGCTGCGGCAGCTTCTTATGCTGGGGCAAGGCCATGTACCTGGACAAAGTGTCAACACCAACCATCCATCTTGTACCATTGGTTTCTGCTCACCTTCTCAACTCAATTAGAACTGTCTCCATGGTGTTGTCTCGTTTCCACTGCGCAAGGGTTGGAAGCTTTGTCGGATCGACCTGTAGTATAATCACTCAGTAATGGCTTTGTGTTTTGGTACTGACTCTCTTCATACCTTGCCAGAGCTGGGATCGACGCAGGGGATGTTGACTCGAGAGACAAATTGAATAGTAGGCGGGTTATCAGGGTAGTCAGGTCCGCAGTGAATGTTCACACTGTATATCCGGTTCTCATGAACACTCTGAAGATGGCAGATTAGCAAGAGTTGCATGGTGGCGGAGAGTAGGGCCAGAACTAACGTGAGGCGGACCTAGAATGGTTCCATTCCAGTTGCTCATCATCATATCTTCTCCATCGGCAAGTCCGTATGAGCAGGCATCTAAGAATAAGAAAGATACGTCAGTGATCTAAGATCGGACAATGTCGGAGATCGTAGGAGTCAATCGTACCTGCACTCAGACCCTTCTCGCCTTTCTCGAGCTCCTCCAGGAGTCGAAAGTTTCTTGGAACCTTGGCAGCCATTTCGAGCACCGAGTAGTGGTTTCAGAGGCTGGAAATGTCACGACAAGTGTGAGCAGATGCTAAAGAGGGATGTTGCGACAAGAGGGGCAATGCGCTAGGCGGTCAAGCTGGAACCAAGTCACGTGCGATATGGCTTATCGATAGCTTGGCAGTTGGAGATGCCACGCCTTGTTGATCCCATCGTGGAATCATTGTAATAAGAGAATCGTGGCCAATTTTTTCCTGCTGCTCATATGAACCCGGTCTAATAGCTCAGATTTACAACTAGACTGGCGTGGAAACACCGATCTATTCAGCTGCGATCGAGAGCTCTTTGTACTGTTGACATCGGGACCTCGGGCATTAGCCGGTGCTGGCCATGCTCTGATACAACAAACCCATATCAGAAATGTCCTCTCAATTCTTGCAGACGGAGATCGCCAATTTGATTCATGAGTCTCGAAGGAAGAACTCCGATTTGCGAAATGTTGGTTATCACTCTCCACCTAGGCATCATCGGTCATGGCACACTAATGAGGAATTGTCAGGCCGCCGAACAATCGTTGAATGAGCTTAAAGCACTACCATCAACGTCTGAGGCTCAGATAGCAGCAGGTAAGCTTTTACGCGGCAACATTTCATCAGTTCCTAGCCGCTAAATCGCCACTAGACCTTGTTCGTAAACCGAATTTTGTCGAGCCATTCATCATTGCGTGCCATACTCGGCATGCGAAGCTTGCTGGCATTGGTGTGATCTGCTTACAGAGACTAATTGCATCCCGCTCATTGCCCTCGAGTCGTTTGAAAGATGTCCTCGGGGGCCTAAAAGAGACAACGAGCTTGAGTAAGTGACCAAATATATCAACACATTTCAACTGCGCTAACTCTTTCTAGGCCTTGATATTCAGCTAAAAATTCTGCAGTCTCTCCCTTCGCTTTTGCAGTTTTATTCCAATGAATTGAGTGGGGAGCTTCTTGCGAACACATTGGAAATATGCGCCACTTTACAGGCAAGCAAAACGATTGCAGTCTCTAGTACTGCCGCGGCTACCCTCCAGCAGCTGGTGGTATCGACATTTGAAAGAGTTTCAAGTGAAGACAATCTTCCTAGAGATGCCAAAATTACTACAACCATCAAAGTCGATGGTCGGTCGCTTGACATCGGCTACTTCGCCTACGATGCACTGCGAGTATTGGATGATCTCTGTCGTCTGATCGATGGCGAGCCACTGCAATTTCTGCGAACACGAACCCTATCCCAGACTTTTGTGCTTGAACTTATCGAGAGTATTCTCCTGAACAGCGGCCGTCTTTTTGTGGGACATCCCGAACTTTCGCAAGTGCTGCGCGTTCGATTATTACCACTAGCCGTCCGTTGCCTATCTGAGAGGTATTCATTCGCTCAAACCGTCCGAGTGGCTCGAATTCTTCTCATTCTTTTGAAGCGTCATATGTCTCTCTTGACTACCGAATGCGAGATGGCATTGAGTCTGATAACCCATCTCGTTGAGCCGGATGGGACAGCGCCTTGGAAACGATTACTCTGCATGGAGGTTTTCCGAGGGCTATACTCTGAGCCGGGTGCCGTGCGGCTAATCTATACTCTGTATGACGGCGAGGAAGGCAGAAAGAACATCCTCCGAGATCACATGGCTGCGCTTGTTCGGCTAGCTTCAGAGAAGCCTTCGTTGATTGGTGTCAGCAATCAATCAACAGTACCTTCACGCGCGGAACACAGAAGATCTACCACAGAGGATACAATAACTCTTGAAACCGGTGGTGTTGCTGGTGTCATTGGGTCAACGGTTCCTCCAGGTGAAACCAAGGTACCTGGAATCAGCACTCAGTGGAGTGTGGTTCGTACGCCATATATCGATCTCCTTGACAAGACAGACCCACCCACACCACCAGACACCTACATTTACAGCCTGGTTCTTAATTGTATCAGTAGCTTTGCCGAAGGGCTCGCGAAATTTATTCTTCCATTGACGGTCCCGGATCTAAAGCAAAGACGCAAGAATCGACTTATGAGTCCCGCCCAAGGGCCTGATTCCGCCAGATCTTCTCAAGACTTTACAGCAGAACCCACTCGAGTGCGGCCTAGCTCGCCATCAAAAAAATCACATGTCCCCATAAATCCTCTTGACTTGCAATCCCATATACAATACTCCGCTATCAAGACCTGTGCGGGGATAATAGAGAACTGTTGGCCTGCTGTCCTAGCGGCTTGTTCCACTTTCTTGCGCGCATCCTTGGATGACGAGTATTACCACAATCTCGTTCGAGCTTTCCAAAAGTTAGCTCATGTGGCGGGTCTTCTAAGATTGGCGGTTCCCCGAGATGCTTTCTTAACGACTCTCGGAAAGGCCGCCACGCCTGCGAGTGCGGGTGGTGCCAAGTCACACAATGTGTCTACCATTAGCTCCCAGCAAAGCGACACACCCCAAAAGAAACGGAGAAGTGCGGATTTGTCAAATGCCAGTTCTTCAACAATGGAGGCTTCAGGAGCAACTGCGGGCGAAGGGCCACCTGTGTCTTTAAGCACGAGGAACCTACTTTGTATGCGTGCTTTGCTTAACCTCGGAATTGCTTTGGGCCCGACATTGGATCAGCCGGCCTGGTCCATTATTTTTGAAACACTTCAATATACTGGACTGGTGATTGGAATGTCCTCAAGCGCGATGGTCAAATCGGCTACTGGGACTGGGGAAAATTCAGTTACCCCAGGAAACGACGTTCCGACAGCTAATCTTGGGACTGAGGTGATTGCAGTCCAGGCAGCTTCTAGCAAAATGCTTGAAAGCACCAGCGATTTCCCAAGTGCATCTTTTGAGGAAATATTATTCGCCTTGTTGAATCTGTCAACATTTACCGAGCAGCGTCGCAACCAAATTGATGCACAGGAAGTATCAGAGGTGCCACGAACGCCACAATCCTTGCAAGGAAGTGGACGCTTACACCAAGGTTCTCGACGTGTATCGCAGACCGTCGGAAAATCGAGAATGCAAGACGAAGAACTCAAATTCGTACTGGAAAAAGGAAACGAACTAGCGAGGGCAAACCTTGGGAGAATGTCTTCGCTTGAAGAACAAGACAGCAAAGCATGGGAGCTGCTGACGCAAAGTCTCATCTCGACCTCCACAAATACTACCGTCAGTCCGAATCTTCGCCTGCAGGCAAGCGCAATTTTGAATTCACTCGTATTCTCAACGATGAAACAAAGGGACGAAGACGACGAGAAAGTCTACAATCAATTGCAAATGAGGAATCTGCAGACATTGAAAGCCCAGGTTTCCTCGCTCTATGCATCAGACATGCACACCTCTAAGTCTTTACCAATAACCGTGATTGAAATTCACGAACAGAGCTTGGAAGTGTTAAACAACATCCTAGAACAATATGCAGAAACTTTCGTGGACGGATGGCACCTCATATTTGATTTGATATCTGGTGTCTTCCAATCTGCTCCGGATCCTGAAACTGGCGATCAGTCTTCCACCCTGATAGAGCGCAGATCATCGGCACTGCCCGCAGGCCCTCGTCTGGTACGTGCTGCTTATAAGTCTTTGCATCTTGTCGCATCCGACTTCCTTTCTCTGCTTCCAGCTCCCTGTCTCTTGAGCCTAGTGAACGCCTTCTCTAGCTTTACATCGCAAACCCAAGATTTCAACATCTCCCTCACCACCACCTCATTTTTCTGGAACGTTTCGGACTTTCTCCAGGGCCAGATTGAACATATCTCAGTTGGCCACGTTGATGCATCTGTAAGCGAAGAAGAGCTAGCCAAATTGGCTCATGACGAGGACCCCTCTGTTTCTCGGAACTCGTTGTGGCTGCTGCTGTTGCTTCGTATCGTTGATATCACAACAGATAGCCGACCTGAGATTCGAAACAGCGCAGTCCATACACTACTGCGCATCTTTGACGCCTACGGGCAGCAGCTTTCCCCCGAAGCATGGCGTCTGTGCCTGAACATGGTCCTCTTTAAGATGGCCGAAGGAATTGAGACCCCTCTGCTCCAATCAAAAAACAATCGGAGCAATGCAAAATCCGATGACTTCACGGCATGGGTGGATACGGCAGTAGTGATGATCAAGGGTTTATCAAATCTTATCACAAATTTCTTCGATACCCTTGTGCGCGATGAGAAGTTTGATCAGTCCTGGGGGCGACTTTTGAAGTACTTGCAAAGTCTAATCGACTTGCACATTTTGGATTTCAGCGAAGCAACCTTTTCAAGCCTCTCGGCGATTCTCCTCCGGGTGCAAAATGGGGGTGAACTTAGCAGCGGTGTTCTTGAGTGTGCTTGGCTTCTTTGGGCAAACGGACACCCCGCTGGCGATGAGCAGATACTCGACTTAGATCAACCTAACCAGGAAGCTGCTTTGGCTTATCTACATGCGTTCCAACAGATCTATCGCCTTTACAAAGACCAGCTGACCACGAAACATATTGAAAATGTCCTTCACCACCTGAGCTTGCTTGTGTGGAACTCGGTCTCCCCGCGGTACTCTCCGGATATCGACCGGCCTTCGGCACTGCAAGAGCTAGTCATTGATTGTATCAAAGTGCTCTGCCTGGAGAAAGAGGACTCCCAGCCAGATATTCTCTTGTGTCTTGCCGAGCTATCCGATTCAGCACTATCAAAATGGAGCCCCGGCAGCGACACTCGAAGACCAGCGTTCGTGGCCTTCTCGAAAAGAACCATCGATCTTGTCAGCTGGTACATTGCCGACTTCGGCATCAAGCAAGACGTCTTTACGAATGGTGCTCTTGCAAACTGCCTCGCACACCTCAGTGCTCTAGTCACGCACAAGTACCTCTGGCAAGGGAAGGACCGCGAGCCGTTCCTATGGCAAAAGGCTACAACAGTATCCCTAAACGTCCTTCAAGTCGCTGTCCCCTACGTGGAAAATCAATACACGAAGACCACCGAGTCCGAAACATCTCAGTTCTGGCAGCGTATCGTCGACATCACAAACGGAATTGTTTCTGCCCATGGCTTCCAAAGCCAACAACTCCCAAACGCACGAATCACCGCAGACGAAACGTTCGACATCCAAGCCTTCACCCGCTTGAAGACCCTCATCCTCCCATCACTCGGAGCAGCAGCAATCCCAGACGCCGTCCGCCGCAACTTCGCCCGCGCTCTCTTCCACTCCTCCTTCATTTACGCCCCCCTCCGCTTCGACCTACCTACCACCAGTCTCGAAGACGCACCCCTACAGGACTTCTACACCGTACGCCCCGGGCGCACCTTCGACCCGCCGCCAACCATGCGTCCAGGAATAGCTTACGTCCTCCTAGACACACTTTTCGAGCTCGCCGCACACTCGCAAGCCAAGACCGAGACAAAAGCCGACGTCCCATCCCCGCAGACTCTGCTCGCCCGCTCGATCTCGCCGTACCTCCTCTTGCGCTGTGCGGTCTCGTTGAAGTCGTACATCGCAGACCAGCCGCTGCGTGGCTTGATGCCCCAGCCCACGCCTGCTCGTAAGGCCCTGCTCCATCTGCTCGTCCGCATGGTCGAACTGAAGAGTGAGCCATCGGCTATCCCGGATCCCCCTTCACTGAAGACTGTCTCAGTTCTCGAGGCTGGAGATGCGGAACATCATTATCGGAAACATCTCGAGTGGATTTATCCGTTGGCTGTTCGTGCTGTGCAGGTCGCTGGTAAAGAACGTGATGATGGGCAGATTCTCCAGGCATTGGGGAAGGTGTTGCAGGAAATTGGTCGGTTTGAGTATTAGAACTAAGACTTGGATTGGATGAAGTTGGCCGGCTGCGTGTGTATCATGGCGATTAATGCATTGTTTTTCTTCATACTCTAGATCTTCAAGATTCTCCGTTTCAATATATCTTACAATTTGAATCTAAGGTTCGATTTGAAATGGGTCTTGGCACGAATGTAGACAGAGTAATGTATACTACAGAGTGATATCGTCACAGCCGTGAGATAGAATCAACGGATACAAAAGGAATAGTGAGTAGTAGAGGGGAAAATCGAGAGCAGAGACAAGAGGCGGGTATAGAAGAACAGATCCGCAGGTACCAAGAGTAAGAAAGACGCGAGCGATAATAATAGAATAAAATAGTCTATGCTGCGGGCGCGGGAACAGGCTGAGGCTCCTGCCGAGGCGGCGCGGCTTCTCTGCCGGGTCCAGCGGTAGCAGAACCTGGTGGAAGAGCGGGCTGCTGACGCTGTTGCTCGAGGAGCATCTGCTGCTGGATCTGCTGTTGCTGTGCGATCTGTGCGTTCGGGGCGATCTCGGGGGCTTGGCGGTAGAGTGCAATTTCGGATTGTTTGAAGTAACGGCGGGCATCTGTTGTTGGGTTAGTTTAGAATTAACATTGAGATAGGCCAATGATGTATCAGAAATGGGAAGAGTGTATGGTAAATTATATGAGTGGAGTTGTTATGCCAGAAAGGGTTTAGTGTGGGGTGTGTCGGGTTTTGGGGGGTTTCGGATGCAAAGTCGGCAACAAAATGATGCAACACGGGCCGACTTGGATGGTTGTATTGGGTAACTTCAATTGCCGACGGTTATTGCATCATTTTGCCTGTCTCTGCACCCCGCATTCTGGCATGCGTCATGGTCTGATTTGGGGATTGCCAAGGATGGTGAAAAAAACAGAGGATGGGTTAATTAGAACATACCTTCATCAATCAGTACAAGACTGAGATAGTACCTTGTCGAGTACTTCTTGTTAACGTCGCGGAATGTCGGCGTCAAGTCAAATCCACCAAGGAATAGACGGATCGGAATGGTTTCACCTGTGGACAGTTAGCTATGCTCAACATTACCCCAAGGTTGTCAATCATTGCGGGGATCATTAAACCCCGGACTGATGGCCGTGGATGGGATCCGAAGTTTCGAGGTGTTCACTAACCTCTCGATGGCGAACCATCCATAATCTGCATGCAAGTTAGCATTCTTATGGTCTGCATTTCATGCTCGGAATCACATCAAGTGTGTTCGATAAACCACATACCTCAAAGCGCACCAAAGTCTCACTCTCGTTATATTGGTTTGGCGGGGATCCCGTTGTCTCCCGTCGAATGATAGACAATTCCATATGCTTGATCTTGAGCCGTACGAGCAAGAAATAGATCCGACCGACAATCACATCCTTGAGATGATACTTGGATTTGGAGTATTCGAATTCGATATGTAGGCAGTCCTCGATACCGACGTCCATCTTGATGGGGCTGTTATTCTCAGGTGGCATGCGGTACGAGTAAACCCACAAGTCCTTTTCCCGAATGACGTCCGCCATGCGCCGCGAGACGGTCACCCGGACAAAGTAGCGCAGCTTGACGTTGATGCCATTGTAAGACTCGTATTGCTTTTCGACGTTCTTGAAATTGAAGGGGAAGGTCTGCGGGTGAAGCAGCTCGCCGGGCGCGGCGAGCTCCTGAACCAGAGAAAGGAATTCATAATGGTTGCCTCGATCGTAGAACATCTCTGTATTCCGAAATCGAAAGGTGTCAGCGGCCAATCTGTGATGGCGAATTCAGCTGGGAGAGGCTGAATAGCAGGTCCAACGCACCAATCGTGCCAATAAATTGCACCTTGATCCCCGTGTGTTCCAGTCGCTTGCCATCCTTCGGTCTGATGGTCACGGCACCCTTAACGGACTCGCCGTCCATGTACAGAGGGACCCGCTCGCGGCGGCCCTTGTCGAGCTTGACGTCAACGGTCTGGCGCTCATCGAGGTCTTCGAGGACCACATCGATGTCGACCGGGGTGGAGAAGAAGAGCGAAGCCATAGTGGAGGTAATTGAGGCTGCAGCTATCGAGGTCCGAACCAATAAGTCGGAGCTTTGATGATCTGGAGCTGTCGTGGTGGCCTGGAGATGGGCTTATGTAATACCGCCTCCGCGCCCCACCCCCATGGACTGATAGTTATTCAGTTCATCGAAGTGATTGTATAAGACCTGAACGAATATCTATATACGCTATTTGATACTCTATTCATATTTAGCTTTACTTGAACTTGGTCCCCTCTCAGTGTTTGTGTTTGTTCTGGAATATTTAAAGTAATGTCTGATCTACAGTTATCCGGTTGGACCTTGGGCTCCGTGGGCTCTTCAGACATGTCAGATCCACTGACAGGAGAAGATTGGAGTTGAAGCATGTCTTCGCTGTCCTTCAAGCGTCCAAACACAAATGAGCCATACGGATCCGAGCCCAACACACCCTCTAATCTTCAAACAAACACGAGCATCGGATATGTCGGAATCCGCTTCCCGTCATAGCCAACTGCCCTCGTGACCATAAGGAAATGAGCAGAAAATGGTCTCCTCCAAGCAAGGATCCGGTTCATTTACCCCGCCGGAAGTTCACTTCTTCCCCGGATTTGACGTGGAATCACTCTGTAGTCCGTCCATCATGCCTACCAGGCACACCTAGGTATAGTCGGTGTGACTGTAGGGAATCACCATGCATATTCCCTGATCATGTTGTCGTGTCTGCTGTGTCATGTCTATTTTGTCCTATCGGATGAGACTATATTTCCCGGAATGTTTGTGTCCCCTGTGTTTCAGGGGATTATTGACAGCCCGTATACGGAGTAAATATGTACAATCTTTACAGTGGATCTGCAAATCTCCCAGATTGTGGGGTTTCTCGGTGTCGAGTTACTCGGGTTGTTCGGCACGGAATATTAGAGAGAGATAAATAATGTATTGGATCAATTCAACCATACAACAGTAGACTCAAAAATAAAGGAAATAACTAAGGACCCAAACTGGCGGTGTCTTTTCTTAGCGTGGGGGTTAGTGTAATACCGAATACCGTGACATCATGAAGGTATCTGGGGATATTTTGAAAGTATTTTGTCGTCAATAGAGAGTTGATAGGTCAAAGTATAAAGAAAAGAGAGTTGTACATATATTTTCTTCACCGGGTATAGCCAAAAGAAGATATATATCCAAGATGTATATATGTCCAAAATATAAACCTGCATGAAATCTTCCCCCCACTCGGCTTCTGAATGTTTTTAAATCCGACCCACTAAGTACAAGATATAAATACTTAAAAGTAAGCTGTTCTGGATAAATTCTTGTAAATTTTGACTTATTAGAAAACACTTTTTCCCGTGTATCACTGCAGCGTCATACCTCCACCCCGACCCAAGTTATTTATACTGGAAAATCCAAGGAATTTTCCCTTTCTCAAAAAAAAACCCCCCATCTTTCCTCTCTACAATATGCTTTCCGCAGGGGAACGACCCCAGCCTTCCCACGCTTCCACCAAAGATTCCACCGTGAGCAAGGCGCGCATCATGCCGGACCTTGCCACCAACGGAAGCAACGGAGCAACATCCTCCTCCTCACAAATACAACATATCTGGGTCGTGACCGGTCCCGCAGGATGTGGAAAGAGCACCGTCGGCAACGTCCTACGCACTGAACTAGGCATTCCATTCCTAGAAGGCGACGATGTAAGTAACCCCAAGTACACAAGTACCCCAAGGCACCAGGCACCCAACCACACCCAATTGCGCCCAATCTCTAGTAACCCGAAAGCCTCGTATACACACATGTGACTAACAAACCCCCAGTTCCACCCCACCGCAAACAAAGACAAAATGGGCAAAGGCATACCACTCACAGACGAGGACCGCTGGGACTGGCTGATCTCGCTTCGACAAGCGGCAATCGACGCGCTCTCCCCCTCAGAAACCAACAACTTCCACCCACCTTCCGGCGTGGTAGTAGCCTGCTCCGCACTGAAGCAGAAGTACCGTGATGTCATGCGCGTCGCTGCATACGGCTCGTCCTTGGTGCAGATCCACTTCGTCTACCTCAAGCTCAGTGAGGCGGTCTTGTTGCAGCGCGTCACACAGCGCCAATCACACTACATGAAGAGCAGTATGGTGCAGTCGCAGCTTGCTGTGCTTGAGGAGCCCATGGGTGAGTGGGATGCTATCACTGTCAATGTTGAGGGTACGATGGAGGACGTGCAGCGCAATGTTATTGAGGCTGTTACCGAGAAGCTTGCGGAGTATAAGTGATCTATCTTTCTGCCTTTCTATGGATGGGACTGAGGTCACGTTATGTACTTGGGATTGTCGGCGATGGTACATTGCCCATGTGAGTTGCGAAAATGGGTATCTATGCATGGAGGATTTAGCATTTTGTTTCTTCTCTGGTTTTGTTCCTCCCAATGGCGTTTGGTGTTTTGGCCGGTTTGGCTATGTCACCGGTCTGTTTTAGATCTGGCGTTTTTGAAGCTCGCATCTCGAGCTTCTATTTCGTGTGTTTGATATACTGCCTGGCTTGGCAGGCTTCGCGATATCCTTTGCTCGTTGTGAATTTCCCAATCAATTGACCTGTCTATATCTTTTCCATCTTTTCTTTTCATCTATGTATTACGCAGCTCAATCTATTATATATTTGAGCTAGCAACTAGATAAACTAAGCATGAAGCGTCTTAGATGTACCCAAAAATTGGTATTATTTAGATATAACTTGGTGGCTAGTCTATTTACTTAAGATTTAGAAGCATAAGCTCGGGCGACTCAACCAGCTCCTTAACCCTGTTACCCATCCTCGCCATTGTCGCACCATCAACGACACGGTGGTCTGCACTCCAACTGAAGTTAACCATATCCCCGCGTGTAATCTGTCCGTCCTCATCAAAGACCGGCACAGCTCTAGTCTTACCCACGCCGAGAATAGCCACCTCTGACGACACAATCACCGGAGACACATATGTACCTCCGATATTGCCGATATTCGACACAGTGATAGTGCCACCACTGAGATCAGCGGGGGTCAACTTGCCGCTCTGGCCAAGGGCACTGAGCCGCGAAACCTCAGCGGCAATGTCGAAGATCGAGCGGCTGGCGACGTCCTTGATGTTCGGAACAATCAGACCATTGGGCGTGTCCATAGCAATTCCGATATTGTGCTTGGCACGCATGACTAGCTTGGGCTTTGCGGGGTCGGAGGTATCGACTTTTGAGTTGAGGATTGGGAACTCAGTCAGAGCCTGTGAGACGGCCTTGACGACGAAGGGGAGGAAAGTGATTTTGGTAGGATCGCGTTTGTCGCTGGCGAGCTTCTTGCGGATGGCAGAGATGCCATTGACTTTGAGCTCGTCTGCGTAGAGGAAGTGAGGGATGTTCAGGGATTTGGTCATTGTCTTGAACATCTGTGATTGCATCGGGGTCAGGTTGACAATTGACTCTGCTTGTCGTGTGTCTGGTGACACTGTGACTGGCGCCGGCATTGATGCTGGAACTGATGGAGAATCTCTCTCTGCTACGAACTTCAGTACATCTTCTTTCATCACCCGTCCGTCTTTGCCGGTTCCGTTGACGTGGAGGATGTCCACGCCGTGGCTCTTCAATAGCCCGCGTACTGCGGGAACGGCAAGGGATGCATGCTTTGACTTGGGTGTCTCATCTACAATTTTGGTAGGAGGAGGAGGAGGAGTTAATAGAGTGGACTCCGCTGCTTGAGTTGCAGGTGTGATCTCAGCGGCTGGAGTAGGTTCCGATGGCGCGGCCCTTGATTCGTGCGGTGGGTTATCATCGGGGTATTTCCCATCTGCAACTTCGATGTCGCAGAGTGCCTATGGAGGCCTGTCAGTATAATAATTCTAGTGTGTATATTAGGTGGACAAGAGTGAAGGTAGCACACACCCTTCCTGTAGGCACTGTATCATCTGTCTCAAAATGTAATTTCTTGATAACACCCTCATATCTCGAAGTAATCTGGGTTCATTAGCCACAAGCCAAATTAGGGGAACAAAGAAGGTGGAACTTACATCATCGACAGCCTTATCCGACTGATATTGGCACAAAGGCTTCCATTCCTCAACATGAGCCCCTTCTTCCACGTACCATTGAATGATCTGGACCTCAGTGATGCCTAGTAATTGTAAGTAAATAAATCGAAAAATGATATAGGACTATAAGTTACCCTCTCCAACATCCTTTAGAACTTGTGATTTAATCCCCCATAGCAGAGAGCTGGCATGGAATTTCCGGGACAAGAGCGGAGGTAGGGTGGAGCGAATGCGGAGGTGATTCTGGGGTAGACAAGGCCTGATGTTACGGGCAGTGAGTCTCCCGCTGCGGGTGAAACTCATGATAGAAGAACAAGGTGATAGAGACAGATTCAAGAGATGTTTTCTTTCGAAATTCCTGAAGAAAAAGGGAGCATTGTGTCTATTTTATTTGGCACTCGATCGACTATTCTGCCCGCACGCCGACGCTAACCGATGCTACCCACGTGATCTCCCCGCATCTACGCAAGTATGGGGGAGATATAGTCTCTTCTCTCTTATTTCAAAGGCAGTTCTTGTTTTATAAACATATAAAGTATCAATTGGAAAGTGCCAAGCAAATGAATATTCCATATAGAAAAGGTTATACTACATGGAAAGTCGTTTTTGTAAATAAAGCGTTTTCTCGCCATTTTTTGCACTGTCTAGTACCTATAAAACCGAGGGAGAGAAATATATCAAAGACATCAAAACGGAATATCTGACACGACCACCTAGAACACAAAAAAAGATCATTGAAAAGAACACAAGGTCGACTAAGTATAGTTAGGGCTAGAGGTCATCCATGGATGCACCATGATGACATTATATACAACCTCCCAAGGCTAGTTCCTCGTTTCCTCACATTTCCCTTTTGCAATCGACTACACTTGCACACTTTTGATTTATCCACTTCAAGAGTTGTTTCATTTTCTTCTCACCATGTATTCATCAATCTACACGTCCCCATATAGCGGAAGCTCTCAAGAGGATAATGGTACTGATACTACTCAAGATTATGTTCACTCAGACATTTCCCCCGGAGCTATCAAATCCGCAGACTAGGTATTGGGGATAATATAAGGCAGTTGATTCTTCAGTCAGTTGTCTTTCCATTCCTTATCTTGACTTGAAGATGTTGGAATTGACCTGCTGAATCTCATTGGTAACGACGCCCACGCGCAATGCCCACGTGTGAGGACAGGATCTCGCTTCTCTCCGAGAACAAAAATGGGGCTGATCTCGTTGTCGCTCACTTGCCTCGGAAAATTTCCATTTGTTTTACGTGCCAAGAACGAGGACTCCCCTATCGGAGATCGTCCGCTGATCTCTAGTGGAGGGGTAATCCACTCCGATCTCAGTTCTCCAGGCACCCAATTTCGATCCATATTAAGACAAACTGGGACTTGCACTGATTTCAATTACAACCCTACACATTGTCAATTCACCATGGTTGCCGAATACCTCACTCTCCGCAACAACACCTCCACTCCAATCGCCCTGAAGCGCATTGAGCGCTTCTCGGCACCTGAGAAAGATGGGTTCAATGCCTTCAGCACAATGGCCAGAAACTTCACCCAGGTCTTGACCAACCAAACCCGCAACGACGCTGTCTCTTCCATCGAACAGGATAGCCACCACTTCGAGGAGAAGGATGTTGATATTCACCTGGAGCCATTCGCAACCAAGAAGACCGAGCTACGCTCCTTTATCCACTCTGATAAAGAGCGCATGCGTCTGATCTTCGAGGCCGAAGGCCAGAAATACCAAATCCAAGCCCCTGTCCCAACAGCAGAGTCCGCGACAATGAAGGCACTAAGCGAGAACCCCAAACACCGCTTCACCGGTGTTTTCGTGGTTCCAGCATCCTTCCTAACAATCTTCTCGTCCGCGCACCTGAACGCCTGGATGCACGAGCTCCGCGACGACACCCTTCTCTCCGCTCTCTCGATCCCAGGAACGCACAACTCGCCCACATGCCACATCGCGCCGCCCTCGGTGCGCTGCCAGGCCGTCAGCCCGAAAGAGCAGCTCGAGAACGGTGTGCGGTTCTTTGATATCCGTGTGCAACCGCAGTACCCGGACGACGCAGCGCGTGACGAGCTGATCCTCGTACACAGCGTCTTCCCCATCTCGCTGACGGGAAACAAGTACTTCCGCGACCTGATGCGTGAAGTCGACGGTTTCCTCGAACGCAACCCGTCCGAGACGCTGATCATCTCTGTTAAGCGAGAGGGTACCGGTAACGCGACTGACGAGCAGCTCTCGCGGATCCTGCACGACCACTACGCTAAGGAGGGTAGTCGTTGGTGGGTGCGGCCCAAGATCCCGACTCTGGGAGAGGCGCGTGGCAAGGTTGTTCTTATGCGCCGTTTCAACTTGCAGGAGAAATTGAAGCACGAGCATGGTGGGAATGGATGGGGCATTGATGCTGCTGCATGGGCGGATAATACCCCCAATGCTACGTGTCCCAGTGGCCAGCTCTGCATTCAGGATTTCTATGAGGTGCTGGAGAGTATGAATATCGAGAAGAAGATCAAGTTCGTCTCGGAGCAGATTGATCGGGCTAGCTGCTGTCGCTATCCGTTTGGTGTCCAGGCTGATATGCATGCTACCAAGGCTTTCCCATTTTACGTCAATTTCTTGAGTGCCAGTAACTTCTGGAAGACTGATACTTGGCCCGAGAAGGTTGCTGCTAAGGTTAACCCGGCTGTTGTGGATTATATCTGTCGCCGAGGCAAAGAAAATGATGCGGACTGCTCGACAGGTATTCTTGTTACGGACTGGGTTGGTTTGAATGGTGATTGGGATCTTGTGCGCTGTATTGTGGGCATGAATGCCAAACTGCGTATGAGGCAGAATTAGGCAGTGAACAAACTTCGGGAGGAAACTTGTCTTTTAGGCGCGGTCTGTATTTTGCTTCACATATACAGGGAACACAATGATTCATGAGTTAAACACAAAAATATGATGCACCAAAGTTGATTTCTTGCAAGTATACATTGATCCTGAAGTAGGAAGTCGGGGTCTTAAGGACGAAACGCAGAATATGATCTATTATACAGGAAAATGAATCAGAATTGACCATGACCAAATTAGGACGATTCGCTCTTGTCGCCCTCCGGTCCCTTCTCCTCTTCTTCCAAAACACTCCGGCGGCTCTCCAAGGTGAAGTAGATGCTCTTGCCAGCTCCCTCCAGAGTGGTTGCAACGCTAGAGCTCATGCTCTGCAAGGCAGTG